AGAGAAGTGGGCAGCTAAACTAGGCATAGCCTCAGCACTGGCATTAAGGGTAGGGGAGACAGGGCACCTGCCGAGGTCCACACTACATTAGCAGCAGCCCAGTGATGTGAGCTGCCGGAAGTTCCTTCTCCACCAGGGCAACCTGCTGAGGACCACTGTGGTGTAGTGGTGAATATGGTGGGACTGGGACTCAGAGGATCTGGGTTCTAGTCCCTGCTCAGGCATGGAGCCAACTGGGTGACTTTCGCCCAGTCGCAGACTCTCAGCCCAGCCCAGCCTACCTCACAGGGTTGTTTTTCTGGGGATAAGACTGAGAGCAGCAGGAGAGGAATGATGTAAGCTGCTTTGAGTTCTTTAAAAGAAAAAAAAGGTAGGATATCAAACAAATCAACCAAACCTGCTTATTCATGTCTCTCTGCCAGTCAAGCTAGCAGGTTTAGCAATGAAAAAGAAGAGCAGCAGTAATTAGGGACAACAGAGGGGAGAAATGAATTTGTTTGGGGGGCAGGCATTGCTGGTGACCTGCCCAAGGCACCTCCAAAATGTGGAACTGGCCCTGTTACGGAGGCACCTTGCATGCCTCCTTTTGTCTGTTTCTGTGTCATGGAGAAAGTGATGCAATAGTCTGACCAACAGTGAGGAAGTTGTAAATCCAAAAGAAGGTGATAGGAAGCATCCCTCTATGGAAGTAGGAGTTATGTATTGTGAAGACTCCTTGATTCAACCGCTGTAAAATGGAAATGCCAATAACAATCTTAGGATGATTGCGTGAAGTGCTACACACCTTCACTCTTTTGGCGTTAACCCAGCACAAATCTGTAACCCAATATAATAAGCACATAACACCATATAATAAAGGTGATAGATCTACAGCAAGACCTGAGGAGTAAGCAAGGCAACAGATTTCCAGGGCGTGGGGTGTGTAGAATGGGCTCTCCACTGTGCATTGGATTCTGCATTGAGGTTCTCTCAATGGGCGCCCCCAATCCCCATCCCCCAATCAACAACACCCCTGTCAATTTACACTACAAGCCAAAAAGGAACATTGAAGCATATGTTTTGCTCCTTGTGGTTTCCAGGAGTAGGCAAATATGGGTGCATTAAATTCAGTCAGGCTTCTTTCTGACTAGACTTCACCCATACGATTTCATGGTCACAATGTGAGAGATGCCATGTATGTTGCAGTATTTACAGAACAAATGGTTGGATTCAGATTAGATTGGATCAACTCTGCTCTCAAAAGTAGATTTCCCCATGTACCCCTTCCCTCTGCAGTCGGATCATATTATAGAAGTCAGAGATACTGCTGAACAAGAAACTTTTCCTCTTGCAGAAACTCCCTTCCTCTCAAAGAAGGGAAGAAAGGTTCTAGATCCAACTCCACGTTAGGTATCAGTAGTCAGGTATAATAGTCATTACATTCTGTAAGCGCAGGTGTAACGAGTCAAACAAACCTATTGAAGAGATGCAAAAGAACATTGTGCTCTGAAGAAGCAGTAGTCAATATATTCAGCTTTTTACCATTATTTTTCTGGAGCAGCTTCTTCTCAGTATTATTTTCTGTCTCCTTCCCATTTTTTAGAACCAAATCGTGGATGAAAATGCCCCCAAGGTTTTTTCCTCTCAAAGGTTTTCCTCCCCTGCACAACACAGCAGTATTTATGCCAGTGCTGAAATGAAATGGGCAAGGAAAGCAAAGCGAGCCTGTGGTTTTGAAATAACTAAGTCAGAATGAATGATAAAATAATCATGAGTTCCACGGAAGAGACTTCTTTTTTGGCCCAGAATTTTCTGTCTCTTGTCCCCATAGAAATGCCTGAATTTCTTTACCTATACTCTGCTGCAATGCAAATTCTGCTAACTTCAGAAAGAATAAATAATCCCAGGTTGGATAAGCAGCAAGGGTAATTTAACAGGAAAAAAATGCCCTTAGGCTATCTGCTGTCTCTACTCTCTGAAAAGGTATATAACACAGTAAAATCTAAGAGACCTCCCTGGGAGTCATATATTATCTGCAGTATTTGTGCAAAAGTTTGTTAAAAAAAACCCAAAACAAAAACCCACCAGCCTACACAGGCTGCTGCTCTCCTACCAAGAAGAGTTTGGCTGGCTGGAGACTGCCATCTTGCGCATCTCATTTTATATTGCAACCAGGTGATAACCAAGACAGAATAAAGTAGTAGACAATACACTGGAAAATAGGAAGCCCAATTAAATAGAGGGCCACGCTGTAGTATAATTATCCAGCTACTGTACTTCTGGAGAGGTAAAGTGAATCATGTTGCCTAAATGGAGGACCTTTACTTATCCAGGCAAGAGATTCTGACTGAGATGAGAGTATCTCAATGCTATCTCAAATGAGTTTTTAAAACACTGGCTTTGTAGAAGACTGGAGATAAAGAGGACTCCAAGAAAAGCATTTTTCAGATGTTATCTAAAGTGAGGACCTTTCATATTCACCATTATCCAGAAGTTTCAGGGATGGACTTATTATTGGCCAACTTCCTTCTACTCTATGGAAAGGAAGAGGATCACATAAGTTACCCTGGGTACCTTGCAAAAGAAAAAAACAGGATATAATTGTAATAATAAATGGTCAGAAATAGGAAAAGTGCTTGCTTCTGAATCTGTATATGATTATCCTTGTATGGCTGCAAGCACATAACAATATATGATTTAAAATATTTTATTTAAAATATTTATATGCTGCCTATTCCACCAATGGTATCACATCCCCAGGTGGCCACTCAATATACTTAATTAATACAGAACAATTCCCATTTAACTCAATGGGGCTTAAAAGTGGCCTTGGATTACACTGGGCTTCACATGTATGAAAAGAGAAGAAAGCAATCTTGATTAACCCAGGACCCATCCTCAAGCCTAGAATTGAAGTTTGGTACCCACTCCCCGCTCCTTTTTGCTTTCATCTACAGTATGTTATATATCTTGCATGCTTGTCTGCAGTTATTGTTTCTGACAGTGACACAAACGGCACAGTAAAATTGGATCAGACCAAAGGCCTATTTAGTTCCCCATGCAAATGCCACCAGAAAACCAAAAAGTAGGGTGTAAGGGCAGTTTTTAATTCCCCAGTGAATGGTGATCTTAGCTATACTGGCTCTAACCCTGGAGGCAAGCTATAGGAACTGTGACCATCAATATCATCCTGATGTTAAATATTATCCTTTCACCATGCCTTGTAAATTTCAGGGGCTTTCAAGATACATCAGCAATGGTGAATATGATACAAAAAGCCAAATGAATAAATAAATTTCATGAAGGAACATTTTCCAGCAATGAAAACTACAGCCATACTTTCTAGTGCACTTGCTAGTTTGCACTGAATTTGTCCATAATAATGAATGAAGTCTATCTGCCAGTCAGGCTTATCTGGTGTGCAGAATATGTCTCTTTTGACTTAGAATGTGTATTTCACAGCTTCGCTGGTCTTATTTGGCATTAGAGGTCACCTTACATATGCAAGAGTGAATTCATTTTCCATCATGTGTACATCAAGCTCTCTGCTGCATAATTGTAAGTGCATGAGACGGCTACCCAGAGGCACCTGATTCTCCTAGTCATGAAAGGGTTGCACAGTCTTTATCATTATTGTATTTTAACTGGCAGGGCCCTTGTGGGATTTTCCACCTCAGAAGCCAGATGCTCCCAGGCACAGACCAAGCTTGAGGTCAGCAGAGGTCTGCAGACTAATATCCTGGGCACAAGGTAGTGTGAGGAGATCCGCCTTAAGCAGCAAATTGTCAATTATTATTCATCTTACCACCACTGGAGAGCATTATTTAGAATTTCTGCCTCAGGCACAAAATGTTATGGGCCATCTCAGAGATCCACGTATATTTTCAAAATGCCTGTAAAACATTTGAAGTGGCCTGCCTCTCAAAAATAAGTTGGGATGCAGCCCTTAAAAGTTGGGAAAGAAACTACACGTGTGTCATAAAAAACAAGCATGTTTATTAAATATCTAAAAACACTTCCTTCTGGATGGGTAAGTGGTAGGATTTACATTGCAATAAACGTGAATGTCAATGAATGGGCATATCAAACATGCTGGAGTACTGGGCAAGAGACCTGACTTGCCACCCACCGACCCGCTTGCTCTTTATCACACTTCTGCCCTTGGTTTGCTTTTACAACCTAATAAACACACACTCCATCGCTCCCCCTGCAACCTTTTAACATCGGCCCAAAGGCATCCATTTATTATATCGACATCCTGCCCTTTTTCCTGCAAAGAACCTATAGCAGCTCCCTCTCCATCCATAAACGCAACCTGCGACGTATGGTAGGCTGAGAGTCTGTGACGGGCTTAATGTCACCCAGTTTCATGGCCAAGCTGGCTGGGACTGGCACGCGGATCTCCCGCACTCTCACCCTACTCCGCACTGGCTACTGAGCAGGACTCAGTGACCTGTGCCAGGGCTTCACCTGGAAGGGATGGACGAAAGCGCTCCTGCGCCGATGCAGAGGGCCGCTTTACACGCGGAAGGGAGGGCGGTATCCTAAGCAGACTTTGCGCGCAGACCAGCACCCGCGCCCCAGATTCAGCGCTCCGCGGCCTTTCGCCGCGCGCCGTCGGCGTGCCCGGCGGGGTCCCTTTTCCCTCCGGGCACGGCCCTTCCCTGCTCGCCCGCTCGCCGCGGCTTCCCCGAGCGGCCGCGCTGACGGCGGCTGCTTTCCGCCCGCCTGCCCGCCGGAGCCAGCCCTTTCCCCTCGCTCTGCGCCGCCATCCTCCCGCTCCTCCTCTCCCTTCCCGCCGCCACCAGCTCCTCGCCCCTCGCGCGAATCCCCCGCAGCCGGGGCTGCTGCAGTGCCCCCTCCGGGGCTGGGGGCGGCGCTGGGCCCGGCCGTCTCGGGGCCGGATGGAGCCTCTTGGCCAGGGCCGGAGCAGCACCTCCTCGGCGAGGCCGGGCTAGCGGGTGGGTCGAGAGGGAGGGGGCCGGGCCGGGCCGGGCCGGGCCAGGGGAGCCGGAGCCCTTTGTGTGTGTGCGTGTGCGCGCGCGCGCGAGGACGGGGATGGTGCCCGCAGCCTCCGGGTAAGGGGCAGCCCTCCTTTCCCTTGAAGGAAAACAGCCCCTCTCCCGCCCACAAAGGTCTCCAGCCTCGTCCCTCGCAGCACAAGGGCCCCGCCACCCGCTCCGCGCTTCCCCGCCTTCGCCCCCCAGCCCCATGCACTCCATCCCCGCTCTCCGCTCCCTGCCAGCTCGGGGAGCCCCGCTGGCCGCCGTTCGTGTTTAGGGGAGCGCGCACGCCGCTTCCCTCGGCGCCTCCAAGTACCCCCGGCCCTCTGTGCCCCGCTTCTGCAGCCCAGGGAGAGAAGCCCCTTCGTCCCGCCATCCTTGCCCCGACCTCCTGGGTCTTCCTACCGGACCTGCCCCATGCCGCTCCCCCGCCCACCATCCGACATCACCTGGCCTACGAGAGGTCCCCTCCGCCCTGCGATCGCCGCCGCTTTAAAGACTCGTCGGCCTGCTTTTGCCGAATCAAAACTTTTTTGTTCTGTTTCGCCACTTTCCTTCCCCGCATTCCATTGTTGGCTGCGGATGAGACTGCGCTTCCTTATCCCATCTCGTCCCGCACCACTAAGGAGAGACTTTCTTTAGCAAAGATCTATCAGTTCCTGTCCAATTTTAGCGTTAATTCCATGTCGGTTTGCTTTTCCAATAAAACCACGTTTTAGATTGACAAAGGTCTTGTTCCGTTTACCTGTGTGCTGTCCATTTCGTTTGTGCATGCTTCTCTCTTCAGTAATGAGGCATGCATCTCTTTTTTAAAAATCACCTTTTGGATTGTTAAGGGAACTTCATCACCCTGTGTTTGCATGAAGAGTTGACATGGTGTAGTCTTCTGTGTTCGTTTACAGCTTTTTTGTATTCTTTTATCCTACTCAGAAGCATCCCAATGTTCTTGCGTTCTTGAATTTGTGTGAATATCCCTACTTGCTGTTTTATTAATTGAATGTTAGGAAAGCCCACAAGAGAGTTTTAAAATAAGCACTCTTCACATATTTATTTTATTGTCAACTGGACTAAAAGTTAAAACACACTTGAAGGCTCAAAGACAAAGAAGCAACAGGTTGTGTTTGAAGAAAGTGTTCAGAAAAGACTTCAGATTCCCCGTTGTCTTTTGGCCTGTTATCAACTGCATTTTCAGAATTTTGGCGCCTCTATTAAAATGGATTAGTAGAACTTCACAGAGAATATGCTTCATAAAACAAGGTTTTCAGATGGTGTCAAAAGACACAGAAAGGAAGAATAAATGCGGACCAGGAAAATATTTGTAAAAGAACCTAGATGTGAATTGTATGAATTGGCGATCCCAGTTTTCTCATTCTGGGAAGCTGATTCTACATCGCTGATGTAAGGATACCTCATGAGCAGGTTCCAGAACTGTGAATAAACAGAGGCAGAAAATGGTCTAGGAAGATGCATGGCATGTTACGTTATGCAGAATGCATTGTTTTAAGATCTGGAAGGAAGCTTGTTCTTGCCTTTCTTACATGTATTATGTTTCATCCAAATGCCCACCTACTTGAAGTGTTTACAGAAAGAACAGTTATTTCAAATAAGCTCTCTTTTCTTGTGAAGTAAATAATGCCTATATTTGCTTGCTTAATAAAACTGTATTTGCCCCTGCCTTTCCATTTACAAACTGCCCAAGGTGGAGACACCTGGGGTGCAGTCCTAGGGTGGCTGGTTCCTATCTTAGGAAAGTTCGGAGTTCTAGCTCTGACCTCAGAAATGTGTTCCAAAGTTGGAACTGGAACTCCGTGTTTGGAGGGCCCTCCCTCCATCTGTGTAGCCAGCTGCAGCTCTGAGGACCTTGGAATTAACATTTGAGGGCTAGCGGGGTGGGGAGGAGAGGAGTGATGCTTTGTTCAGAAAACTTCCATCCCATCAGCCTCTCCTCTTTCTGAACAAAGTCAAAACAGTCAAGATCAGCTGTCTTAAGTGTTTTGCAGGGCTGCGCTTGATAGGATGCCCATAATCCTCTGAGTTTGGTGGGTTATAGGCAGCCGCATTGGATGTTACTGTTGTCAGGTTTTAGAATTTCATTCAGAACCAACTTAAGGTGCAACTTTCCCCACTCTTTTTTGCAGAGTTCCTTGCTCAGTGAGATTCAGGGGCTGGCAAGCCCCCTCTGGCGGAGCTGAAGAACCTGCACGTGTCAGCAAGAAGTGAGCCGGAGAAGGGACGTTTCAACCGTTGCCAAGATGGGCATGAGGATTAAGCTGCACAGCACGGACCATCCCAATAACCTGTTGAAGGAACTGAACAAGTGCAGGTTGTCGGAGACGATGTGTGACGTCACCATTGTGGTGGGTAGCCGCTCCTTCCCTGCACACAAGGCGGTGCTGGCGTGTGCAGCTGACTATTTCCAGAACTTGTTCCTCAATGCAGGGCTGGATGCTGCCCGCACTTATGTGGTGGATTTCATTACTCCAGCCAACTTCGAGAAGATCCTGAGCTTTGTCTATACCTCAGAGCTCTTTACAGACTTGATTAATGTGGGTGTCATTTATGAGGTTGCTGAAAAATTAGGGATGGATGATTTGCTGAAGGCCTGCCACTCTACCTTCCCAGACTTGGAAAACTCAGTCATCACTAAACAGCCATCTGTCTCGGGTGAAAGCCGGCCAAGTGGGGCTGTGGCTGAGCCAAACCATTCCCTGGGTGAAATTCGGAACAGTGGGGAGCATGTGGGACTAGAGCGGAATTGCAGTACACACGGCGAAGTGGCCGGGAGCTATAAAGAAGATCCTGCGAGTGAGGCCAGTCATAACTTAATGCATCCACAGACACCTAAAACTGAAGAACAGGACTCGTCAGCACAGTTCACCGGGGCCATGAGCATTATGACACAGGCTGGCCTCAGCAACATCAGCATGGCCGTTCAAACAACAGTCAGCAATTCTTGCCAGCCGTATAAGATCCAGAGCAACGGGGATTACAGCAAAGGCAGTTTTTTTGCCTCCGATGCCTCGCTGGATATATCCACGGGCAGCAACTCTTGCCTGAGCAATAGTGACCACTCCAAAGATCAGGGCTTCGGGCAGATGGATGAGCTGCAGCTGGAAGACCTGGGGGAGGAGGAGCTACATTTTGAGGACCCCAGTGAGGAGCTAGGTGCTGCGGAGGAAGTGATTGAGCTGAGCGATGATAGTGAGGAGGAGCTTTCCTTTGAGCATGACAACCGGGATAACAAGGCCATGCCTTGTCAAGTGTGCAAAAAGGTTTTGGAGCCCAACATACAGCTGATCCGCCAGCATGCCAGGGACCATGTGGACCTCTTGACTGGCAACTGCAAGGTCTGCGAGACCCATTTCCAAGACAGGAATTCCCGAGTCACACATGTCCTGTCCCACATTGGGATATTCCTTTTCTCCTGTGACATGTGTGAGACTAAGTTTTTTACCCAGTGGCAGCTCAACCTCCATCGCCGAGAAGGGGTGTTTGACAACAACATCATCGTCCACCCCAGTGACCCCCTGATGGGGAAGGTCAACTTGTTCGGTGGGGATTTTGCATGCGCTGCTTGTGGGAAACCACTGGCCAAAGACTTCCATGTAGTTCGGGAACACATCTTGGATCATGTGAACCTGAAAGGCCAGACCTGTGGCGTGTGTGACCTGCGGCACCTCAATCTCTGCAGCCTGATGTGGCACACACTGTCCCACTTGGGGATTTCTGTTTTTTCTTGCTCTATTTGCGCCAACAGTTTTGTGGACCGACACCTTCTGGAGAAGCACATGGCAGTCCACCAAAGCATGGAAGAAGCCCTCTTCCGGTGTCACTACTGCGGCCAGGCTTTCAAGCTGGAAGCTGCTTACCGCTACCACGTGAGCCAGCACAAGTGTGGCTCCAGCTTGGATCTGGTTCGGCCCAGCTTCGGTGACCGGCTCCACCAGCAAGCTCTACAGAAGAGGAAGCTGACTGAGGAGTTCCTAAGTGAGGATATGTCTCTCCAAAACCAGCCTGGGAACAGTAAGTATAGCTGCAAAGTGTGCGGAAAGAGGTTTGCTCACACCAGTGAATTCAATTACCACCGGCGGATCCACACAGGGGAGAAGCCCTATCAATGCAAAGTGTGCCACAAATTCTTCCGTGGGCGTTCCACCATCAAGTGCCACCTGAAGACACATTCTGGGGCCCTTATGTACCGGTGCACAGTTTGTGGCCACTACAGCTCCACCCTTAACCTTATGAGCAAGCATATAGGTGTGCACAAAGGCAGCCTTCCGCCTGATTTCACCATTGAGCAAACATTCATGTACATCATCCATTCCAAAGATACGGAGAAAAACACAGACAGCTGATGCAACAGTCCCAGGGAAGTAAGCACTACCTGGAGTGGCGGTGAAACTTGCTTCAGTTAAGAAGAAGTAATGTTCCTTTTAATAGTCTGGCATCATCAGCATCATATTTTATTTCCCTTTGCCTTGTTAGAGGGTCTCTTAAATCGCTGTCCTGTGAAAACAACAGCACGTTAGATGTGTTATGGTTCTTGAGAAACTTGTTGTGTTTACCTCCTGCCGAGTCCAGCGCTCATCATTTCAAATCTAGGAAACTGTATTTTTTCCCCTCCATTGAATAGGGTTCCTTCCTCATGACTTTCCCCCTCCCCATTTCTAATCGGAGATCACAAAAAGATTTATGCTGCTAAGATATGGATGCTCCACGTGGGTGGAGATAGCAGGGGAGGGAATGAATTGTGTCTGTGCTATCGCTGCGGAGAATGTAAGTTAGAAAAATGCATATTGCAATTCCAAGCATACTTACTTTGTCTAATGAGACTTATTCCTCACCTGCTAGGAATGTTTTGGATTCTAAGCCTTTGTTTCTTGCCAGAGAAATTAGTATTTTCCTTCTACAAGGGTCGCCAACTGTTTTTTAAAGTACCCCTTGCTGCTGTGTCTTTAACAGCAGTGTGATCAGGATACATTAATGGGTAATAACCTTTATCTCCATGGAAAGTTCTACCTGCTGATTGCTGTAGATCAAGATGATGTTAAAGGCACAAGAGCATGTGAGGCTTGGGTTTGGGGGTCAGTTGGCAACCCTGTCTTGCATGCAACCTCAATTTGCTTGTTGCCCTTTCCCATGGAATAATTAGTCTAGTTTATAAATTCCGATCTGGAGCAAAGGGAACAAATTTAAAAGGGGATATACAGATTAGTGATGAGAGTAGAGGAGAGGTTTGCCAAATATGAATATTTTGGATTAATTTTTAGATGTGGTTGGGAGAGTGACCTGAGAAAGAAGCCAGTTTTTATGTGGGACACAAAAAGATGATGGTGTTTAATCTCCAACACCCTCTTTCCAAAAAAGAAATGTATGTGGGGCATCAGAAAACAACCCTTGGGTTCCTTCCTTGCCGCCTGTGGTATTACGTTAATGCTGGTGGAAGGTTCTGCCGTCTATATCATCTGTCCCAGGCAATGCACCAAGGGTCCCCAAAGCTCAAATTCTTGATAGTGTCTGATGTAGTTTTGTGGACAGTGCTGAGAATCTTCCTTTTAGGCCACAGTTGTAGACACATATACCTGGGACTAAGTCTCTTTGAACTCATTGGGCTTGCTTTTGAATAGATATGTATAGGAGTGCACAGATGCGTTTAAAAAGATATTGTTGCCTTAAGGAAATGTCACTAGGTGGATGAATGGAAGTTTTAGGGCCAATTCAGATGACCTTTTAGGGGAGGGGGCATGCATTAATAGGCAGTTCTTACGCTTTTGGATGGGTTCAGATGTCTTCACAAAGCAGTCCCTGTAGTGCAGAGATATCTCATTTCCCAGCATATAAACAATATGATTTTGTGATAGGGAGAACGCAGTCCCACAAGCACATCCATCCCAGCTGTGTCACAGTCACATGGCATATGGCTGCAGGAGTGACAGAGGTGCCCATTTGGATGAGGACGGATGTCACTTTGCAATGTAATGAGGCCAGTTTGAAGGCACCCTCACCACACTCTGCACAAATGCACTGTTTTCTCTCTGGGTTTGAACTCTGCCATGGATTTTACCAAGACACATGCAGCCCTAGTCCCCACAGTGGGCGGCAACTGTTCAGATATTTCCATTTTTTGAGGTAAAGCCTGAATATATAAATGAACCAAGCAGGTGAAGCATGGGGAATGGGGCAAGACAAATGGGTAGCAATTGTTCTGATAGATGGTGGAGCCGAATTGCTTGCTGTGATTTATTCTTCAAGAGTGCATTTGTCTTAACCCTGGGATAGTGTTAGTGACATCACAAGTGCCAAGCAACATTAACTCCCCCTATCCCCATTGCAGAGCAGTTTTGTAAACTTTCCAAATGATTTATTAACATGTTTTTGAAGTCTATAGTAAATGAATGTTCCTTTGCGAGAACGTTCATCTAGCGCTTTCACAAAAATCGATGTGGAAAACACCAGCAGACCCATCCCTTCTCCCTTTCTGGAACGGCACTGGGTTGCTTCTTAGCTCTCTAAGTTATTTTTCCTTCCAGGCTGGAACTTGCCTTCTCTTTCAAAAAGGAGGTGCAGAAGCATAGTACTGGTACGAGATCTGTGCTGCTGTAAGGATGTGCCAGCAGGACGTTTCCCCCTCACCCCCCTCCTAGTCTTCTGACAACTCCCAGAGTATTTGCTCCCTGTGGCCACGAAAACTTCACACTTGCATGATTTATAAGCAAGAGCAGTGCTGTCTCTCAGGATGAGGATCAAGCGTTCCCTGTTTCTGGTGGCTGCGGTGATGAATCACCCAAATGCTCGCCAGAGGGATGCAAGAGATAGTGGATCTCGCCTCCGTGTGGCTTACACACTGCGGCTTTGTCCTGCAGAGGGAGCGTGCTTCACACGGCGAACAGGCGTCTCCTTTAGTGCCGTTCAGTGTGAAATTCAGGCAAGGGCATGGATGATGGAGGCACATGTTGATGGGTGTAGCAGCTGGCTTGAGATCTGCCCTTAAGCATAATCCTAACTACCTCATAAGGTGGAAGCTCTGGAGTCTTGAAGCCACTCTCGTCTACACATAGACTCTCAGGCTTCCCTGTATACAAACACTGTTGTTAAAGGAAAACCGAAATCTATGGAATGGATGCTGCTCTAGCCATGACTTAGGGGTGAAAGGGGGCAGGGGTGAAAAGCTGTGCAGGCCCAGGAATTGCAGCTCCAACACCAGTTCCAGTAGGGCAGTCTTGGGCAGTTTTGCTTTGCCTTTCTGCTTACAGAAACTACCTCTAGGAGCATTGTGAAAATTCACTATTTTGTTGGGTGTCAAGGAGAAAAAGCACTTATTTATGACTTGTTTTCATATCCAAGGGTAAAAAATGTTACTGTCTTACATGGTTCCAGTGTGCAGCAAATAGCCAGGCATAGCCCTTAGTTTTTTTGTTTTTTCCTTCTTACGGCCTCAGGAAGGCAAGCACCAAACAAGATATGCCAAGGAATCGACTCAGTTCATTGGATAAACTGGGCTTATCCTCAGATGTAGTTAATGCTGGCAGTGTTGTTTGTGAGGATGGAAGAGCTGGCTCAGGGCATAACCACTATGTGTATTACCATTGCTGGTAAATGAATGGCAGGGCCAGGGATGCCTGAATCTTGACCTGGAGGGCTTGAGCAGGAAGCTGTAGCCTCAAGTGTGGCAAGCTAAAGGTTCTGCCGTTGCCCAAAGGCAGAAGGCCAGGTTCCTAGTCATTCTTCCAGACTTGGCCCGTCAAAAAGCCACTTATAACCAGCCACAGGGGCTTCTGTTACACCCCCCCCCCCCCCGGCCTTTCCAGAGCACTCAGAGGCCTTAGCCCACCGTCATAGCTCACAGTTTCAGCCATGGTCTCGAGCTCCTGGTTCAAACTCTGGAGTCACAGGCAATTATTTCTGTGTCTCCAGCAACAGGCCCTGTGCTGTTTTCCCATTTAGAATCTGGCTTTCATTGGGAGTGATAGAGGAGCAATGCTGGACCTTCCTCACTAAGAAACTTTGCTGCTCCTCAGCTCAAGCGTGAGCCACTCGATTCTAGAGCTGCTTTCCTCTGGTTCGCCTGTGCCAAACCTGTGCTGCTGGTACACAAGGCAAACGGGGCCCATTACAGAAACTTTTTTTTAAAGCATTCTGCAACAAGAGTGTAGTGAACCATTGGATTTGGTGGTTTAGGGTAATGAGAACCAGATAACTGGGGCCTTCTTTCTGGTTCTGAATCTTTGCCTCCACATGTAGCTTTGGTCAAGTAATGATACCAGTCTGCCTCAGATATACCTACCTGCTCACCCGAAATCTCCGAGAAAGGGTGGATGGGAGAAATTTTTAAAAGTACCTACCTCACAAGGGAAAGGTTGTGAGGTGTAGTAAATGTCTGTAAAGTGCTTTGGAACCCTTAGGCTTGTAGAAAAACCAAGTATTGTAATTAAATAGCTTTGCTTTGTTCAACATGCTACCATTTGTGAAGAATCTCTCCCTACCGGGGAGGGTTCAGGCATGGAACAGGAATTCCACTCTAATGCGGAACACTTCAACATTTAAAGAAATGTTTTTGAGACTAATGCTTTGTATTATTATTATTATTATTATTTTCTAAACTCAGAACCATGCCCCCCTCCTCCTTTTCCTCCAAAGATCCAGATGTCTTGAAACAGAACAAAACAAAAACAGAGCATCGTGATTGCTGTCTAACCTATTGGTTAAGTTAATTGTAGGTACTGACCTCCTGGTTATTTAAGTGTTTACTATCTATTTGCTGTAAAGTTTGTATATTTTGTAAAACTTTTCTCCTTCCTCAAAGAAAAAGAAAGTAGATGTCTACGATTGTTGTACATCGGATTCTTTTATACTCCATTGTTTGGCACAAAAGTGTGTTTTTTATTTAGAATAATAAAATGAAAAACTCGAGGAGCTTGATCCAGTGTTGGTGGTCCCCCCCCCCCCCCCCCCCCCCCGATCTTTCATGTATTTTGGCTGGTCAGTTTTCTCGACTCAGATGCTCTCTAGTCGTGTTGAGCTGCGGCTCTCGTTAGCCTTAGCAAGCATGACTGGGAACGCCGGGCAGTTGCCATCCAGGAAAGGCACAGGGTTGGGGAAGGCTGTGGTAGATTTGCACCAGGGTGCTTTATTTCAGACTGCCACATGTTAGAGAAGGAAGGAAACAGCCTTCTCGCCAAACACTGGGGAAGAGGGCGGCTGTGAGAATCCTTTAAGCCACTTCTTGTGGCAAGAAGCCCTGTGCAGAGCCCTCTGTGCATGCCGGGGGAGGACCTGGGGACATGCTGTTGCGACCTTGTGTGGAAAGGAAGCTTCTCCCTCTCTTTTCCTCTCTCACTCCTTCTCCAAAAGCCAGCACAGGGAGGCTGATCTTGCCCCTTGCCCGACTTTTCTGTTCACGCCAAAAGACTTAGGGACAGCAGTGTGTTGGTGATGGTTACACAGCAGCTGGCGATTATTACACTGAGAATTATTGTCATATTTGGCCACCGTAAAGGGCTTGATGTGGAGTCCCCCAGGAATCAATAAGTGATTCCTGATCAAGAATGGCTTTGGCTTAATTTGTCAGGCAGATAAAAATGCCTTCCAGATGTATTGCTTGTAAATTAAATATCGATAGATAAAGTATGACTGGAAAAGTTAATAGAGAGCTAATCCTATGGCCATTGGAATCTAATGGCTGTAGGATATTTCTGATTCCTAGCTCCAACCCGGAAAATGTGCTCTGAAGTCCAGAGGTGGGACCCTGAACGCAGAGTGCCTTCCTTCCATCCCATTAGCTACACTGGGGGCAGGAGAAGAGAGAGGTTCTACCAGCATATGAAGTATCTTGGCACTGCCTAAGTCTCCTTCCTTCATACACCAAGGCAAAACACTTAGACGGCTGAAATCAGCCATCTAAATGTTTCTTAGGGTGAGAGAAATATGGAAGTGACCTTTACCTAGAGCGCCTTCTGCCCTCCATAGGTTGCCCATAATCCTCAGAGTTTAAGGGTTATGGATCTCATTGGATTGTGCTGTCTGGGTCTTCCTTCTCTGACTTTTGTCTGAGTTTAAAAAGCCAAAAAGTTAAAGGTAAGTCCTTGAGCCCTGGATAAGTGTCCTGCTTTCTTTCTTTTTCTTTTAGTGATTTATTAACTTCATGTCAGTTTTATCAACCATTTCACCTTTAACACCCTGTTCATGTTGTTCAGAGATTAAACTCGGCCTGGATCTATGTTCTGTCAGAATTCTTGTTTTTCAGATGGGTCAAAGGGTTGAGGAAGAGCTGAGAACATTTTGCTCAGCACTTCCTCATGTTCCACCTTGACCTCCAAGCGATTCCTGTAATTATGGAACCCTCAGAACTCAGGATGAGGGATCTCAGAATCACATGGTCCTGTTCATGCCATATTGTTGTGAAGAATCTCTCATCACTATTTTGGCATGCGGCAGTCAAAAAGACAAAACTTTTCGTTGTCATATGCATGGGCTCTTGGCTCCCAGTCCACGGTGAGCTGGTTGAGTACATTAGCAATCACGTGCAAGGATTCAAGCCTAACCCTAGCCCTTTCCCAGCTTTTGTGGTCATGCAAAAATCTCTGATTTTGTGAATAGGCTTTCTTCATCCTCAACTTTTATACGTTCAGCTGTAGATTTATTAGGTACCACAAGGCCTGAGCCGTGGCCAACAGGGTTAGCAGGGGCCTCTGTTTGATCCGGGGACAGGAACTGTAGCACCTCGCTCCCTGCCCAGCTCAGGAATGGAGTAATTTCTTTTTATTTTTCTGGAGAGATGCACAGCATTTACTTCAGACTGTTAAAAAAGGTGTAGTTTCTGGAAGAGGAGAGGGCAACTGCCTCCTGGTTTTGAGGACTGCGTACCTTTGAGAACTGCATACCTTGCAGGAGCTCCATACAAGGACCAGGCAGGACCAGAGATACCCCACACAGCTATTCCTCATGCGCTACCCCTTAAAATGATTCCAGCCCCACAGTTTCTCTTGGCATCTCTCTGAAGAGGGAAAGAGAGGGAGGAACGGGTGATCTTAAAAGAGAGGGAAGGGTTGTGTCTCAGGGGCAGAGCACCTGCTTTGCACTCAGAATCTGCAGTTCCAGAACAGAAAGACAGTGTGGTGTAGTGGTTGGAGTGTTGCATGGGGGACCCAAGAGATCCTGATTCTGGTCTCCACCATGGTCATGAAGCTCACTGGATGACTTTGGATCGGTCACTCACTCTCGGCCTGAGCTACCTCACAGGGTTCTTGTAAGAATAAAATGGAGAGGAAGAGGACAATGCAAGCTGCCTTGGGTTCCTTGCAGGAGGAGAAAGTTTGGGATATAAATGTAATATAATGATACTGAGAATGAGAAGTTGTGTGAAAGATAACATGGCACAGAAGCAAAACAGCAGATCCCATGTGGGCAGGGCTAAGACTCTCAGCTTCTCAGTCAAGCCACTGTCCTGACAGGGGCATCAGAAAAGCTGTTGCTGACCAGAACATTTTTGGCAAAGTGGGAAGAATTAACCACTTCACTGGGAAATCCCTCTGGTATGGGCCAAGGGAAAAGTTTGAGCAACCCTTGCATGGGGGAAGCGAGTGGCAGTCATCAGTGCTTCCCACCGTGTGATCCTTGATCCGAAGAGTGAAACCGATACGGCCGAGGTGGCACAGGATGCTAGCCAATACCCCACGCTGCTCCACCAAGTGCCAGCATTTGTGGGCCAAAGTGCTCGTGTTTTGTGCCGATGCAATTTTAACCCTGTTCGATGGAGTCAAGAGGAATGACACACGATCACATCCAATCTGCTTGTTCCCCCCAACGGACAGGCAGCACAGTCCTGTAGCCACCAGACGGCATTTGACAGGCATGGGGTTATTCCGAGTCCCAGCTCCAAGCTCGGAGCAGGCTGCTTCTCAAAGAGGCCCCCATCGCCCGTGCAGCCAGCACAGGTGCTAACCAAGGTGGCTGCTTCTCGGAGGTCACAGGAGCCCGCTCAGAGAAGGAGTCTGGGGGGCATTCTGGGGAAACGGAAGGGGAGAGGAGGGGAGGGGAGGGGAGGGGAGGGGAGGGGGGCTGCCAATATATGGGTATCCTGGTGGCATGTCAGCCTTCTTTCCTCTTGCTCATAAGCCTGGCACTGGGGTGAGAGGCATGTGGAAGTGACCATTCCTCGTGAGCCTCCTGCAATCCATGAAGTGTGACTTTGCCAATGAATATTTGAAGGAACCTCTCCTTCCATATACACCTGCCTGAACTCTAAGATCTTAGCCTGAGGTCCTTCTCTGGGAGCCCTCTTTGAAGGAGATCAGAAGAATGGCTACCCGAAGAAGGGCCTTTTCTGTGGTGGCACCCTGGCTCTGGAACCTGTTCTCCAGAGAGGTGTTCCTGGTACCAACGGTTTAATCTTTTCAGTATGAGCGTCCCTGCACCCTACTACAAGAGTAATAAACAACATTCTCCCCACCTAATACTTTATTCATTGTGAAGCCTAGTCTTGCACCCCTACCCAGTCCAGTCCAGTCCATGTAATGCAAATCCTCTGAAAAGACACTGCAGCTTCTGTGTTGTAAATATATGACTCCTAACCCAGAGGACCAATGCTCAGTTATGAGTATTTAGCACTACAACTGCCCGAAGCATTCAAAATCTAGGCAGCACAAGGAAGTCCTCTGTATTTACTAGTGGGGTTTCTGTGATGGGGAAAGGATTGGATTGCCTTGACTCAAGATGGATGCAAGCACGGAGGCAGAAAGACATGTTTTTAGCTGCAGCAAGTCGCAGAGAATAAAAGACAGCTGGGAGCCAGGCTGGGTTTTTGCCACACAATGCAAATGTCAGGCTGGTTTCCCTTAGGGGAGATTTAAGGTCCAAGCATTTCCTAAAGGCATGGCCATGTAGCAGTTCTTTCTATTCATGCCTCACAGGCCGGCCTCTCTGTGTGTGGATGTTTCTGGAGAGACATTTCCCTGGTTTGGAATAAACCATCTGAGTGCAAGAATACTAGCTGTTGGTATCCTAATTCCCCAGTCGGTTGAATGCCCACCAAAGGCCTGGGTAGTACCTACTGATGTCCAGGTTGCTTTAAATCTGTTTTGTCTTGTTTCACTGATGGTCAGGCCTCTTCCACTCCATCAGCCACTTGTTGGCAGAACTGGGTTTTTAAAACCAGAATGTTGTTTTGCTTCCTCTAATTTGCATTAGCGTTAATGCAGACTGGCACGTCGGTGCAAGGGTGCATTAGCACGGAATTATTAGCATGATTCCCTTCCATGCAAAAGTGAAAAACTGGTCTCGAGGGCCACAGAGTTGATACGACTCTGAAAAAGCCAGTCCCCTGCAGAATTGCAGGCTCTTTCCAACATCCCCAGCCCATTCTACGCTCGCAGCTGCTTCCGCTGTATGTCATCCTGCCTACATAGGTGTGAGCAGTTTAATGAGTGAGGCAGCCTCATATTTTCAGAATACAGTTTTCATTCAAAATTGCACAAACAAATTGCACAAATTGCACAAAATTGCATCATCATCATCATTTAACACTGCAGGGTGACAAAACCAGGCCATTCATTGCCACAGTTATTTGGGGCAGGGGTGGGGGTGGGGAGTGGTGGGTGAGGATTAATAGGAAACCCATCCCTCCGTTCTTCTAACACAGGAAGTCTGACACAGCAGCATGTGACCTCCCCCATACGTCACCCCGCACGGTTCACTTCTCCATCGATTCCAAGGAAGCGCTGGTGACAAAGCAACGAGCCTCTTTTGTGGGGAGCGGGGTGTACTTGGCCAGGGAGAGAAAGCTCTGAATTTGCTTTTGTGGTGGAATGGGGGCGATGGACTAAGGAAACCCGGGGAAAGCTGCTTAATTCGGCGAGGCATTTTTTGTGATGATGACCGAGTGCTGGGTGCCGGTGGAGGAGCCCTCTTGGCCCATTTGGTCCTTGGGGATGTACCTGACCACAACAGAGATGAGCTTCCCTCGGAAGTTCTTACTCAGGAAGTTGTACAGGATGGGGTTCACCACACAGTGGATGAGGGTGAAGCAGTCTATGATGTCGTAGAAGAAGTAGAGGAAGTCGAGCAGGTAGCAGTGGAGGAAGATGCTGGTCCCTTCGAGGGTGAGCAACAGCAGGACCAGGTGGAAAGGCAGCCAGCTGACCAAGAAGACCAGGATGTAGGCGTAGATGAGCATGCAGTGCTTCCTGCCCTCGGGCTTGTTGCAGCGCTTGATGTGCCGGGCCGTCAGGATGTTGAAGGTAGCCATGATGGAGAAGGGGATGAGGAATCCGATGAAGAGGGTGAGGAGAGTGAGCACCAGGGTCCACACGCTGTAGGTCTCCAGGGGAGCCATGAAGAAGCACATGGGCTCTATGTCGTTGGCCAGCTCCATGTGGGCCACCTCTGGGAGGGGGATGATGGCGGCCAAGGCCCAGATGCAGCAGCAAGTGACCCGACGCACAAGGTGCTGGTGCCGGTGCCAGAAGGGGGAAGACGTTGTCAGCGATACGTAGCGGTCGACGCTGAGGCACGTGAGGAAGAAGATGCTGCTGTACATGTTGGCAAAGTAAAAGTAGTGGGTGAAGCGGCAGAGGAAGCTCCCCCAGAGCCATGTGTAATCCAGCATCACTTCCAGCATCCAGATGGGTAAGGAGAGGATCACCCCTAAGTCTGCAACGGCCATGTTGACGATGTACAGGTTGACCAGGTTCCTGTAGCTTCGGGTTTGCAAGTTGACCCAGATGACCAAGAGGTTCTCCACCAGCCCCACCACAAAGATGATGAGGTAGAGGACAAAGAGGGAGACCCGCTTAGCATTTGCACTCAGCTCCAATTCGCAGAGGTTGAAGGTGTGGTTGAGCAGGTGCATGAGCTCCGTCAGGTTGTGGTAATCCAAGTACTCATTGACAGGTGAGGAAGCCTCAGGCTCTCCCATGCTGACAAGAAAGATGAGCTGCAAGTAGAGGGAAAGGAGAGTTCAGTGCTGGTAGGTCTAGCCAGGGTTTCCCCCTCTGAGCCAAAAGAAGGATGAAGAAAGATAAAGGTCTGTCTGTCTGTCTGTCTGTCTGTCTCTCTCTCTCTCTCTCTCTCTCTCTCTCTTTCTTTTGTTTCTATCCTGTCTTTATCCAAGTGGATTTCCAGACAGCTTACAGCCAGAGCATAACAGCATATTAAATATGGATATAATATACAAAATGAACAATAAAATAATTCTAACTATATGATAAAATAATCAACGCTTAAAATAATAGTTACATAAAAAGATTTTGGCCTGGCACTGAAAAGAACAGACCATTAGCACCAGATGCACCTCTCTGGGGAGCAGGTTCCAGAGCTGTGGTGCCACTGCAGAAAAGACCCTTCTTCAGACAGCCACTCTTCTGATCTTCAAAGAGGACTCCCGAAGAAGGACCCCAAACAAAGATCTTAGCGTTTGGGCTGGTGTACATGGAAGGAGAGGTTCCTTCAAATATTCATTAGCGAAGTCACGCATCCTTCACATCAGTGGCACAGCAGTGCTCTGATCCTTTTCTTATTTTAGCGCTTATATCCATGTTGGTGCACTGCAGCCTGGATTTGGAAGACATTTGCACTGTGAGGGTAAGTGCACCATCGCTCCACCGGGACTCTCTTCCTCTACCATGGGCTCGCTCTTCCCATGTGCACCGGCAGCTCCCGCAGGCTGGCCAGCATCCCAGTCCCAGGTGCCATGCTGGGGGTAGAGAGCCGAGAGTGCACGAGCAGGGTCCTTCCCAAAGGGGCGCGGGATCCACTTCCGAAGGGAGTGGGGAGAGGGGAGACAAAGGAAAGGGAGGAGGCAGAAGCTTGGCAGGCCAGTCGGGGGTTCAGAAGGTGCCATTGGCCCTCGGGCTGTGTGTCTCTCAACACCTTGATCATGGAAGGTCTCTGCTGGGAATGGTGCTGCTGAGGCCAGGTGTGGAAGCGGAAGGTCCTTTTGCAACCCAGCAGAGGCTCACAGCCCACTGTGTCCGATGGTGCTGTGCAAACCCAGTCATTGTTTGGAGAGGAGGCAGGTGGATGAACAGTGCATGAGTGGATTACCCTGGAGGAGACGCTCCTGCTGTCTATGCCAGATGGCTGCTGCAAGAAGTTTCTTTTGCTGTGACTCGCCTGTATGCTCCTCCTGGTGCATCTCTGTGGGAAAAGAGCCTCAGCAGAGACTTCTATGTCAATGCAACAGGGACCTAAGCATGTTGTTTCAAATTAAGCCCCTAGGACTTACTCCCTAGCTACAAATATACTTAGAATTGCAGCCTTAATTTCATAGGCACCAAACAGACTTTCTGCTGTTTGACAACTGCAGTCAAATCCAGAACAGAACAATTGATGAGGAGCAAAAACATTTCCAAAGGTAAGATAGGCAGGTGGACTACATGGCTGCACCATTACTGCTATTTCTTCAAGCATATATGCCTTGCTTCTCCTGAATCTAAGACAGCTTACTGTATGGCCCTACCCAATCTACATAAATATATAAACATTGCATTGGAAACAAACTCCATCTCAGCTGAACTGGTTAAAAACACAACTCAGAGTGTATATATAGAAGGGATGCACTCTTTTCACCTACCGGCCACTTGGAGGAGTTTCCCAAGACAGCCTCCTGCCTGGACTCTATGTTGGTGCTTGCTTAGCTACACAGATCAAAGACTGCAGGTTTTGATCGTTAGGAAAGATGCTGCGCATGCATTCATTTGCTGAGGAGCCCCTGAGTGCCTGCTGTTGCAAGGGGTTCAGGAGCACATTTGGGTGCCACGCACACACAGATACACGGTTTTCACAGGCGTCAGGCATGCGAGACCTCGTCTCCTGGACCGACTGAGCGTGTGACTGACCAGCCTTCTGACACACTACACACAGCCAGGAATGATGGACTGGCCTCTGGCAAGCCGTCTTGCAGAGGAGCTTGGCCACCTCTGCTGATGTTTTCACAGAGGGACCCAGGGATCCCTCATGTATTCCCAAAGGGCCAGGGGTCTCCATGCACACCCCCCCCATGGCCCCCAGGGTGTGTCAGGTGATGAAGGGATCAGCAGCCAACTCTATTTTCTTCATGTAGTCATGAGGGTGCCATTCTTTGGGTGAGCTTAACATGAAAAACTGCTCTGGGCTAATAAATCACGTTCTCGCTGTTGCGATACGTCAGGGATCTAGAAGCAGTTTGGATGCACAGCGGGGGAAAGAAAAGAAAGCCAGTGCTGTTTGTGTGCCTCACCAGTGCAGAAAGGTGTAGTGTTACTCTAAAGCCTGCACGTCCCTTGCAAAAGACCACAAGTGCAAAGTCCCTAAATACTTACCAGCACCACTGAAGGGCAGTCCTATTTAGAGCAGACCCACGGAAGCAAAAGGAATTTAAGTTAGAGCCACACTGGATACCGTCCCTATAACACACTGTAAGGAGCTGCCTTAGAGGCAGGGCTGCGTGAAACTCAGTTGGACTATCGGTCCATTTGGTTCAGCATTTCCTGCACTTGCCATTCCCCATCTGGTGCCCTGCAAGTGAGTCGGGCTATATGCTGGCTGGGGATGATGGGAGTTGCACTCCAGCACATTTGCTGTCCACAGGGGAACACGTGGGTAAGGCAAGGCTCCCCTGGTTGCAGCGATGGCACTCTGCGTTCCAGGCAGGACCCTTTTCCCAAGTCACACCACTCCACTCAGATGGCTGCCCAGACGCTTTTTGAATGTCTTCAGTGAGGGAGAGCCCACAACCTCTCTGGGCAGCTGGTTCCACCGGTTCAGCCAGAGCCAATGTGCCCTTGTGGTTAGCAGACTTGCAGCCAGACTGCAGAGGCTGAGGCTCACTCCAACTCAAGACCTGGGGCCAGTCGCTCTCCCCCAGATTTCCCTACCTCAAAGGGTTGTGGTAAGAATTAAATTGAGGGGAGAATCCCATATGCAGCCTTGAACTTCAGTGCAAGCAATGTGGCAGAGAAACAAGCAGACTCTAAATGTAATGACCTGTGTGGATGAGATGCCTTGCTGGTACTTTGCCCTTGTTCATGAGTGAATCCCCCAGAATCCTCTGGGTCCTGCCCAGGAGTGAATCCCCCAGAATCCTTTGGGTCAAATCCAGCTCTTCAGCACGTTATGCATTAGAAATAAGTAAAGATCAGCAGTGAGTGATTATGTTTACGGATAGACAGGTGCTTCCCACATCTTTGGGAAAAGATGAGTGATCATTCCAAATACCCGGTTTGGTTTGAAAGTATAAGGGAACTTCCAGATAAGGGGTTGGACCCAGACTCAGTCATACTTAGGAAGACCCATTAATATACACAGATCTACTCAAAGTATGACCACATCTGCATCCAACCTGGATCTGGATCCAAGGGAAAAAGGCAGCATATAAATATAATTAATAAATAAAACAAATAAGCCTGAGGATTTTATTATGCAGCTGTATGGCTTTATTTACAGAATTTGACAGAGGGCTAGAACTTCATTATTTTCAATTTGTAATCCTCCCCTTTTTTCTTACCACTTTCCCCATCTTTTTTTTACCAGAAAAATATTCATGGATGAAAAGACAGATCTGCAGAATGCCTTGCTTGGAGGCATCCTCACCAAAGAGAGAAAATAAAACCAACATCTTCATGCAAGCAGCTTTCTAGGGTGCTTCCTTCTCCCCCCACCACTCCTCCCCAGCCAACCACTTGTGCACTAATGCACCCCCTAAACATTTGGGGTTGCACCTGGACTAAAAGAGCAATTCTAAGTGGGGAAGAAGCAGTGGGGCAGACCTCCCACTTCATCTACAACTCTGTCGGCTTGGGTGTGTCAGGACACAAACAGCGTGCAGGCAGGTTTTCCCCCACACCTCCAATCCTCCCCTGGAGCGCCTCGCACTAGCAAGGGTGGCAAGCTTGCTCTGTGGGCATGTCCTTGTGTGTGCTCATGTGCGCCAGCGGCTGCACCCTCTGGGTCCAGGCAAGGACACTGTATTAGAAATGCCCCTGGTCTGAACTGGCAGGAGGGGCTGCCCCTGTAAGAGGCATGTGCTGCACATGTGTGCAGAGGAGGCGCATAGCTGATGCAGGCGGTAGGAATCTGCTCACTTACTGGCTACGTTTATCCACCGTCTCTCTGCAAAGGCACTCAAGGCAACTTGCCCTGGCAGGCAGAATCCAAGGGTGCTGATGCCTCTGCTTGCTCTCTTGCACTCGTCCAGTTCCCATCAACAAGTGGCACCTGCCACCCACAGAATGGAGATTTAGCACTTTTGGGGCCAACTGGAAACACCCTCATTTCTACAGCAGGCGGGCTGCCAGAGCTCAGTAAAAGGGCTCTGCCAACCTGCCTTGATCCAGAAAGGAGTGTTTCTGCTTGTTTTGCAGCTTCCTCTGGGAAACGCTGCAGCTCTGCATCACAAGGGGTGGCTCCTGTTTATTCACAGAATGTGTGGGGAGCAAGAAAATTGGCAGGGGGATATGAGCCCCCTTTGCCCTTTATTTATTTTATTACCTTTTAAATTTATTATTCAACGTATATTCCACATTACTAGCTCAAGGGCTTTCTAAGCAGATTACAATAGAATCTATTGTATATAAATCTACTTGATAACCCACCTTTCCTCCTCCACCACCACCACTGACAAATGGTACTCAAGGTGACTAGCAATCATAACCCCCTTTAAAAAGAATTATGCATCCAAAATGCTTGCATGCTGAGCTACAGTGCTTTTGTTTTCCCAGCATGTGTGAACACCCACATGTGCAGCTCTAGAAAAACATGCTAGTTTTAGTGCCTGGTGTAAAAATCTCTCCAGAGGTCTTTCCATGCCTGCCTCCCAAGACCCTTCCATCAGAGATGCTGGTAGGGACTAACTATGGGATTTTATGTGTGCTACTGCACTAGGATCCGTTTCCCACAGTGGAACTGAGTTTTAATGATCTGGGGACCTGACATTGACAAGAAAGCAGTGACTGGCTTGGTCTGAGTGACAGACTAAGCATGGCTTAAACTGGTTCCGAGGGCAGCTTTTGAGTCAACTGAATGCGTGGTCGGGAGCCGGGCTCCACAGAATGCTTCCTTCAGGAAATACGAAGCCCGAAGTAGCATCTGCCTTGGTCAAAGGAAGACTTCTGCACAAGTCAAACCCTTGCTTAGGCTATCAACACAATCTGACCTATAAAAAGTATTGTCAGGCTGCAGAGGGAAAACTTTTTTTAAAGAAAGGTGAAGCTGGTTCAAGAGGATTCTTGCTCCCCATTTTATTATACACATGCGATTTTGGCTCACTGTTGCCTCCACTTAAACAGGTTTTGCACATTTTTGTAAAACTGAAAACACTGAAAAAATAGACACAAGTGAAAGGCGCATTCAATGCTATGTGCACCAATGCCTTTCTCAAACTGACATTAAAAAAGAAAGCACTTTTGCTTGCTTCCATCCTTGGAGAAGACTGAGTGGAAGAAGATCCATCACTTGAGAGCTGCTTTCACTCCCCCTTTCCCCAGTCACTGGGTGAGGGAGTAATCTCCTACTTCAGGGCATTTGGAGGAAGGGGGAAAAACTCTATTTTTATTTTTTTTTTGAAGGAGGAAAGTTGCCATCTGTAACTCTGGGAAACAAGCTTAGTCACTGGTGAAAAAACAATCTGGAAAGCATGAGGCTGGTGTGCTGCTTACCTTACTGGAAGCCAAAGATGATGGTGGATGTGCGGCAGCGAAGGGCTCTTGGTCTCTCCAGCTTGGTAGCGCCACTGAGCCTTAGGCAGTCTTTCCAGCAATGTGCGTCGCTGGCTTGATCCTGGAAGCTTTCCCCCCTCCTACCTTCCTCTGCACAGGAAATGAGCATCAGGGTCTGTTACCCTGTGAAACACAGCCTTGGCACAAAAGGCAGTCTAACGTGTTCCCATCCTTGAATGCACACAGACTGGGCTCAGCTCACTGGGCCTCGGGGATGAGCACACAAGCACATGGGGAGGGGGAGAGGGGCCCCCTGCAGAAACTTTCGAAGAACAACAGAGGATGCAGGTGTTGCCGAGCTCGATTTCCTGCCTCTGCTCTGCTGTTTGGAAGTCCCCTCCCTGCTTGCAAGGGCAACCAGCCCAGGGCAAGCCAGGGCCAAAGAGCTGCTGGTCGCCTCAGCATCCCTGGTGAGACATCCAGATGGCACTCCGTGGCATTTCCACTCAGCAAAAGTGGGTCAGCGGAGGCGAGGGCCTGCCATTGCTCTTCATAAAGTAGGACATACATGGAAAAGTGTTGGAGAGTGATGTTTGTATGGAGGCTTCGTTGAAGAACTGCAGTTCAGTAAAAATTTCAATGGATTTTAACTAAGGTTTTAAAAATGTGATTGAGTAAAGAAGATGATTACTTTCAGTGAAAAATTTCTTACTTTTTATTTATTTTTTTGTACTTGTTATTCTGCGTAGTATTTGTTCAGGGCCCCTTGGTGTTTTCTTTTGCTACATTTTCTTTATTTTTCTTCTTCTTTTCTCTTTATTTCTCAAAATTTACTGTTATTTAAAAGAATGATCAACAGCAGCAGCAACAGCAACGAATAAAATAGGGCATAAATGAGGATCCCTCAGATGTTTTGGCTATTTCGGTGACAGACACTTCTGTCCCTTGCCGTGCTTCCACAGCAGTGTCGGATTCTTATGTTGCAGGTCGCTGTTCCTCAACCAATGCCTTTTTGATAAAGCAAAAATGTTGATGGAGACCATCTGGGAGAGGCAGAACTGTGTCAAAAGAAGCATGGTGGAGCCAGTGCCGGAGCAGAGTTGACAGCATATTTTCCGGAACTTCCCATGATTGCGTCTGCATTATTCCTTCACCGAAGCAATATGGATTGGAACCACACGGTGGTGGCCTGGAGGGCAGAGAATTTGGAAAAATCCTGAAAAAAAAGTGAACTATTTTTCAGGAAACCTTTTAGTCTTTGGAATAAAAAAAAAGGAGGGGTTGCCTGCAAATTGTCAGTTTCTTTCTATCTCCCCCTTTTTTCCTTCTCAACATTTCTTCCCCTCTCTAGGGGCAGCCGCTGATTTGTTTCTCCAATATATGAGTGATCCCCAGTCTGAGGATGACAGAAAGAGTCAGAAAGGCCGAGTGCCATGTCTAGGCACACGGGGGTCTTGTCCCAGCTTTTTGCATGGTCGTGGCTCTTGCCTCCATGACAGCTGATGTGCAACGGCTTCTTTTCATGAAGGGGGTAACCGGCGCACGATCTAGTGAAATGCATTTAGGAGTCCATCATTTCCGGACGAGGGCAGGTGGGGTGTGAAGTCCAGATGGTGCCTACCATTCGGAACCATGCCATGTTCTCCCAATGCTTCTTCCATCTTTTCTCTTCACACTGACATTCCCTGAGGAGGAGGAGAGGGAACAGCTGTATTAAGCGATACCAGAACAGCTGTACTTCCAACGGTAGTGATTTTGAAGGAGACACAGGTTGATTCCTGGATGGGCCGAGGCAGCCATAACCTTCAGGCATGCGGGACATGTGCAAAGTGATAAGGGAGACTGAGGTGATGAGAAACTCCGAGTAACAAGCATAGTTTTAACTGATAAAGGTAGGAGCTTCAACAAATGTTAATTGGTAGAAATAGTTGTGAGCTGGTGTATTAAGAAGATCGGTACTGCAAAAAATTATAGCCAACCGAAGTAGAGCTTCTGACATCCTTTGTGTGGGAAGGTATATAAATGATGTGAAAAGTTTGAATGGGATTGTCTGTGAGGTGCAGGGGACCTTTACTTTGCAAAATAAATCCTAAAAAAAAACAAAACCCTCTTACTCCCCTGTTGGCACCCCAGGGGAGGACCCCACTGTGGCTAACAATTCCATGCAGAAATCCTTTGACACTTTTCTTTAAAACGAGAGCATGACAGCTCAGAAGTCTGCTGCAGAGTGTCCTCAAAGGTTGAAGCGGGCACCCACTGGTCCCTGAGTACACCCATTTTTAATCCTAATGACAGCCAGTGTGACGTGATGGTGGGAATGCTGGACTGGGGGCTGGCAGATCTGGTCCTGAAGTGCACTAGAGGACTTGGGCACAGTCACAGTGCTGCCGTGGAGAGGGTAAATGGAGCTTGGGTTTCCCACAACAGCAAAAAAAGGCAGGATAGAGATGCAATTTAATAATTAGATGATGATGATGATGATGATGATGATGATGTGTGGCTAGTGTATTTTAAGTGCCTGGCATAGGGATTAATATTAATAAATAATACACACCTAGTCAGAAGTGAAGCCCCTGCATTCAGTGGGGCTTACTTCCAGGTGAATACATTCAGGGTTGTAGGCTAGCTTAATAGTTCACCAATGTAAGGAAAGCAGAAAGGCCTCATTTGCAGATAATGGGATCGATCACCTTAGAAGAGAAGACTTGATTTAAAATAGATAAGATTCAGCAGGAAGCCTCCACGGTGTGCTCATGGATGCACCTGAGCAACAGGGCCAGGACCACTCATTCATTCATTCATGTGTTCTATGTGTATCCGTTTTTTCCCACAAGGAAGCCAAGGTGGCTTAGCTAATGCCTCCATCTAGCCTCACAATAACCTTGTGAGGTAGGTTGGGCTGAGAGTGAGTGAGTGAGAGGCCCACAGTCGCCCAGTGAGTTGCTTGGCCAGGTGGGGACTAGGCCTCAGAGTCCCTGAGACCCGGTCCACCACTGCACCTGTAGCCCCTGTGGCATATTGGTGCAGCCCAAAGAGGTGGGACTACGAAAGAGCGGGGCTGTAAGACATTTAAATCAAAAAGAGCAGGAAAGCTGAAGCGGCGGGAGCTGCTGTTGCCACTGAGGCTCTTGTCGTCTTGGTTTAGGTTTTAAGGATTCTGCGCATGTAGCCAACTCTTCTGTGCTGAGACCAGTTGAATTTGGGATTCCTTTGAGCTGGATTCCAAAGGACATTTGAATTTTGCGGCTGTACAGCCAGTTTTATTTGCATTGGTGCTGTTGCCAGGGACCTGGGTGCACTGGTTTTAGTATTTTGTTGTTGTTGTTATATAGAATTGTTCATGCTGTTTTGTTATAAAATTGTTGATAAGAAGAGGTTCATTTTGTATGTTGGACTGTGTTGCAAAGTTCAATAGGAAAACAGTATCTCCTTAGGCTATTGTAAGCCATCCTGAGATGTTCTGTAGGGGACAGGTTAGAAAAACTTTTAATAAACAAACGAACAAACAGTGTACCAGTGTTACACAACCAAAAGACCATGCTTGGTTCAGATAGGTATTACTAGGAGACCTTTCCTCTGTTAATTGTGGGCATGGGGGATGCTCAGAATACCGGGAAAAGAAGTAGAAAAATAGTCCTGGAAGACAAGAGTGTTATTAAGAGGGGATGGAGACTGAAGCCGAGGGCCTGTGACACAACTTCTCTGTCAAAGATGATGGATTTGCACTTTCTGCAGGGCAAGGCAATGTGCAGGGGACTTTGGCCTGGCTCCAGGGAGGGGGCAAAAGGCCCTAATGTCGAAAACAATTGCTGGAAATCTCCGTTTCAGGTGCGGTCAACAATCAGTTCGGAAGGAAGGCCTGGCTGGGAGAGGGAAATGCAGTAGCACAGATAAGTCAGGCTTTTGAAACGACAACAAGCCAAGCCTGGAAACCAGGTAGCCTTGGCTTGTGGTAGAACGGTTGTACTGCGTTAGGTGGCTTTAACTCCTCTGGCTCAGGCTGTGTTTCTCCGCTCCCTGATGCAACAGTCCTTAACCCGGTGCAGAGACGCTTCTGTGCCGCTGGGCCTGGTTGGGAAAGGCATGGATACCGTTTGATTTCTCATTGCCTGTTCGTCGGCAGTTGAGGCCAGCATCACACACAGGTAGAAAGCGGCAGCTACCGAATTTTGCAGTGCTAAGATGGACTGCATCTTTTCAGATTGCAGACTTGGGATCCCATGACCAAATTGTCCCCCATTTAAAGGCAGAGCACCTCTCCCTCAAAATGCACATTGAGCAGAAAAATGACAAAGCAGGGAGAAATTTTTGAAGTTCAACTCTTTTCATCTCTCTGCTATTTTCTTTTTTATAGGGAATCTCCCTCCTTCCCTCTTTTCCTTCACTTATTCTTTGTAGAGGGATTTTCATGATGTCACGTCCCCAGTTTGCCATCTGAGGTGGTACAATTCATTCTGCCACCTCAGGGATGGAAAGAAACAAAACTGATGAATAGATGGTTTAGAGTAAGTTTCCAAGCAATAAAATGGAGGGATGGGGGTGCAGTGGCTGTACGGTGCCCAGAGGCAGGATATTGCTGGACCTCCATCTCTAGCTGTGCTGCCCAGGGCTCTGACATAACACTGGGTCTCAGTTCCTGGCCACTGGTTCTGCTTCGGAGTACACCTATGGACTTCCTGTCTCCATCTCTCCCTCTTCGCAGCCTCCCAAGGGCCTCTCTTCACAACCCCCCTGTCCTTTCCTCTCCTTCTCACAGCAGCCCCTCTCCCAGAGCTCTTCAAGCCACAACAGGGCTGAACTGTAGGCATCCCTTCTGATATCGCACAGGGTTTGAGACCATTCCCAGGCTGCCGAGGGCAACTGAGCCATGCCTTCAAGTGGCAGCTCAGCCAAGAGTTGTCTACTGTTGTTGCTGCTGACACCCACCTTTTCCCTCCCAACCGCAACCTGGATTTGGTAGCTTTGGACCTCTCCTAAATACCTGCTCCAAAGGTGTCCTTCCTAGATTGCACACAGACTGTGTGTTGTTTGCAAAGCTGTGGTGGTGGAGTATCCTGAAGGGATCA